GACTAAACCAAAAAATAACACTACATTGAGGAGTTTAGAACACAAAGAGAAGTGATATGCATGACAACAAGAACCCAAAGGGTAGGAGGGGTGTAATGTGAACTATAATGATTCATGGCTCTTCCATTGTTCATAAAACAGTATATTTGCAGCTAGCTAGAATGTGTTAAAATACAGATGCATAGTGTGATGTCCACAGCAATAACTAAAAAGAAAAAAGAAAAACAACAAACAAAGAAAGTATAGTTAAAAAGCAAAGAGAAAAAAAAAAAAAAGCAAACAGGGACTTCCCTGGTGGCACAGTGGTAAAGAATCCACCTGTCAATGCAAGGGACACAGGTTTGAGCTCTGGTCCGGGAAGATCCCACATGCCATGGAGCAACTAAGCGCATGCGCCACAACTACTGAGCCTGTGTGCCACAACTACTGAAGCCCACACACCTAGAGCCCATGCTCCGCAACAAGAGAAGATAAGAGCATCCACTGCAATGAGAAGCACATGCACCACAACAAAGAGTAGCCCCCACTTGCTGCAACTAGAGAAAGCCCGTGTGCAGCAACGAAGACCCAATGCAGCCAAAAATAAATAAATAAAATAAATAAATTTATTTAAAAATAAAAAAGCAAACAAATCCTAATTGAGGGCTATACTATAAAATACCTCATCAGTACTCTTCAAAACTGCCAAGGTCATCAAAAACAGAGAAAGTCTGAGAAACTGTCAGATCCAAAAGCAGCCTAAAAAGACATCATGACTAAATGTAATATGGTACCCTAATGGGATCCTAGAACAGAAAAAGGACATTAGGTAAAATCTAAGGAAATCTTAATAAAATATGGACTTTAGTTAATGATGTATTAATATTGGTTCATTAGTTGTAGCAAAGGTACTATTTTGTAAATGTTAGATGCTAACAACAGGAGAAACTGGGTATGTGGAATATGGAAACTCTCCATATTACCATAACAATTTTTCTGTAATTCTACAACTGTTCTAAAATTTAAAATTTACCTGAAAAAGAAAAGCTCTACTCTCAGGGGAAAAAGTCAAATGGAATACTAAAAACTACCTGATTCACCCAAAAGAAGCCAGAAGAGGAGGAGACAGGATCAAAGAACTGACATGACAGAGAAAATAAACACCAAGACCATACTTTTCAAGTGAGACATGTCAAAAATTACATTAAATGTAAATGGACTAAGCACGCCAATTAAAGAGCAGTGATTGTCAGCCTGGTTGTGTGCGGGCACGTGGACGTGGACACACACACACACACACACACACACACACACACACACACACACATACAGGCAACAACAAGATCCAGCTATATGCTATTTACAAGAACACACTTTATATGAAAACTCAGATCGGACCTTTCCTTCACACAGTTCAAAACCCAGTGCAGCGGCTGGCAGATTATGATCTGTGGAGCCTCTGCCTCAGAACCACATGGGAATGTGGTATAGTCAAGGATGCTGGTCTGGCCTCCAGGTTTACGAAAAGAGAAGAACTAATCTGATGGGAAGGGTGGCAGGAGGCCAGAGCTGCTCCCATTAAAAAGAAAGCCCCCCAGCTCTTGTTACCAAGAGAGCAAGCCTGAGGCCCTCCACAGCACCTCCTCCCTGGAGCTGGCCTGCATAGGGCTGATGGTCCAGGTCTGTCCAAAGCAATGGGGGCACATTCCTTCTAATCTGCTCCCTCAAATCAACCTCTCCTTTTTAATGTAGCCCTTGAAATAATGGTATCATTGTTCCCAATTTTCAAATAAGGAGACAGTGGCCCAAAAAGGCAAAGGATCAAAATCCCCAAAGATCAGCTCGTTAGTAAGTAGCGGCATTAAGATTCTGACCCTTATCTGCCTAACTCCAAAGCCATAAAAGCAACAACAAGAGTAAAACAACACCAACACCTAAAAATATACATAAGGAAAACACAATACCTGGGAAATATTTAGAATGAGTGATTTACAAATGTAAATTGAAAGCATGATTAGACTGGTTTATAATCCTTGCTTTGGTTCTTTTAGGAATTGGAGTCATTTTTAAGAGACAGGGGAGGGAAAAAAGAGCCAACATTTTTTGATCATCTACCATGTACCAGATCCACTTCTCATAAAAGTGATATTGCCTTTAATATCTTCAATACCAGGAGACAGATATTGCCATCAACATTTTACAAACAATAAAATTGTATAAAGAAGTTAAATAACACAGCCTGTAAGTGGCACAGTCTGTCTAGTTCTAAACCTGAGTCTGTCTTGTTCTAAAAGCCTGTGTTTTTCTACAAGATCTCATTGCTCTCAGAAATTTTCAAGTGCCAAACAGAATCTCAATGAACTTCCAAATGGCACAGCTACCGTGGTACAAAAGGCATGGTCACTTTGAAAGAGAGTTTGGGGGTTTCTTACAAAACTAAACATACTCTTACCATACAATCTCGCCATCTCACTCCTTGGTATTTACCCAAAGGAGCTGAGAACGTATGACCACACAGAAACCTGCAAATGGATGTTTACAGCAGCCTTATTCATAATTGCCAAAACTTAGAAGCAACTAAGATGTCCTTTAGTAGATAAATGCATAAACTGTGGTCCATCCAGACAATGGAATATTATTCAGTGTTAAAAACAAATGAGCTATCAAGCCATGAAAAGACATGGAGGAACCTTAAATGCAATTACTAAGTGAAAGAAGCCAATCTAAAAGGGCTACATACTGTACAATTCCTACTGTACGACATTCTGGGAAAGGCAAAACTATGGAGACAGCAGAAAGATCAGAAGTTGCCAGGAGGCAGAGGGAAGAGAGGGATTAATAGGCAGAGCAAAAGAGGATCTTGGGGGCAGTATAACTATTCTGTATGATACTGTAATTGTGGATATATGTCATTATACATTTGTCCAAACCCATAGAATGTACAACACCAAGAGTGAACCCAAATATTAACTATGGGCTTCAGGTGAGTATGATATATCAATATAGGTTCATCAGTTGTAACAAATGTACCACACTGGTGGGGATGTTGAAAATGGGGGAGGCTGTATGTGGAGGGGGAGTGGAGCCAGGTGGTATATGGGAAGTCTCTATATTTTCCTCCCAATTTTGCTATGAACCTAAAACTAGTCTGGGGGGTTTTTTTTGTTGGTTTTTTTTTGGGCTGTGCCGCATGGCTTGTGGGATCTTAGCTCCCCAACCAGTGATTGAACCCGGACCTCTGACAGTGAAAGAGCCAAGTCCTAACCACTGGACCACCATGGAATTCCCCTAAAACTACTTTTAAAAATAGTTTCTAAATTTAAAAAAATAGATAAGACTGGTGAAATCCAAATAAGGTCTACAGTTTAGTTAATAGTAGTGTCACAAAGTCCATTTCCTACTTTTGACAATATACTATAGCTAAAGATGTTATCACCAAGGGAAGGTGGGTGCTAGGTACACAGGAACTCCGAGACTTTTTGTGAGTCTAAAATTATTTCAAAATGTTTTTAAATTAAATAAAGCCACTTTTTATTATTGATGTACAAGGAGACTGGAACAGAATCCACCAGCCCTATGACTGAGAACATTTCTATCAGCAGAGTTATGGGTTCATATGAGCCTAATGGAGAAAACTCCACAAGTGAGTCTGCCTGGTGATCACATTGCTTACAGAATGGCATGCGGCTTGTTTATGTGCAAGAAGCAGAGAGCTGAACAGCTGGGCCAAGGGAACAAGACTGCTCCTGTTTAGAGACTCCTAAACAGGTTCCTGGTTCCTCTCGTCCGAGCATCTTCTCTGGCACATCTTTAAGGTCGATTGTGTCAACCCCACCCTAGGGAATGCATGTTATTTAAGAAGCACATATAACACCTTCACTGTTTGTGAACGCTCAGTGGTTTGGTGGGCTTTGCCCAGTGTTTCATAGTCTTTGGATTTTAGGGTGACATAGAAATGCTTTTGGTATGATGTCCACTGTAGGGTTCTTTATAACAGCAAAAACTGGAAACGACCAAACTGCCCAATTATGAGGGGAATGTTAAACTATGATACTCATCCTTATGCAGCCATTAAAAGTAGTTAATAAATGTATTTTCATAAAATGAAAAAAGGCCTATGAAATGAGGATAAAGAAAAAAGGCAATATTTATAATGCCTAAAGTATGTAGGTGCCCCCCTCTGGCCTCTGACTGTGAGGTTATTCTAACTCAGAAGTGAAGTATTCTCAGCAAACCATCTGGCCACTCATCTAAGCCACATTCTCCAGTAGAGCTTCATCACTGATAAAGCTGACATTTTAATCTCCATCAAAAAAAAATGCTCATTTACAGTGTGACCTCAACCATGTCTAAAAATATATCCAAAATTTCCCCCAAGGAAAAGAACCAAAAAGCATTTCCAAATCTTATTTCGTGAATACATTTTAATTTCATTCTTAAAATAAACACATGAATGACACCATGTAATTTTAAAAGGTAATACAGGAGTTTGCCTTTATTACAGTGTTTCCTGACACAAATTATGTATTGAAAATTACACATCCAGATCTGGAAAGGCAAACTGGTTTCCTCTAGCAAGCCAACTGCAATGGATTAGCAGTATTTGCCCAAGATGTTGAAGTCTCATCTCGGATCAGTAAAATAGTGACGCTTGATTTCTTCATAATGTTTGCTGTGGGTAGGAAAAGGGAATGTAGGAGATGCATACTGCATATTTTCTGATATGGATGAAAATTTCTACCACACAGATAGATGTGAAAGGAAGAAAAAAGAGTGGGGGAATGCAGTGGGCAGAAAAATGCCCTCCCCAAAGATGACCATGTCCTAATCCCTGGAACCTTATGTGGCAAAAAGGAATTAAGACTACAGCTAGAATTAAGGTTATTGATCCTCTGACTTTAAGATAAGGACATTGTCCTGGGTTATCCAAGTGGGTGTGCTGTAATCACAGGGTCCGTTCAAACTGGAAGAGGAAAGCAGAAGAGGAGAGTCAGAGGAGGAGAGAGATGAGGGATGCTCACCTGGCTTTGAAGACAAGACGAAGGGGCCACGAGCCGAGGAGTGCGGACGGCCTGTAGGAGCCAGAGAAGAGTAAGGAAATGGATTTTCTCTTAGAGCCTCTCCAGAAAGAACACGTCACCTGCGTGTTAGCTCAGTGCGACCTGTGCTGGAATTCTGAGCCACAGAACTATAAGACAATAAACTTGTGTTGTTTAAGTTACAAACCTGGAGTAATTTATCACAACAGTAATGGAAAACTACTACAGGGGTGGACAGAGAGGAAAGGGAAAGGGCAATTACAGTTAGGATGAGGGTGGCTGGCAGGAATCAATTTCATTTTGCCTCACCAGCCCCAGTTAACCAAGAAGCACGACTTACACGCATGTGTACAAGAAGAGCATCCCGACCTGGAGGAAGGGAGAAGCCCAGGGCTGAATTAGTGGTTCTCATTCAGGCTGAATCTCATCTGCAGCTGGGGCACCACTCAGCAGGGGAACCCCTACATCCACGGAGAGGCCGTGGGAAACTGGCCATGACCCAGGGCCCAGCTTAGTTGGGCTCCCGAGGCCCCAGAGTACAGCCATGTGATGGCAGGAAAAAGCTGAGAACCACACGTGAGAGGGACACCTTCAATCAAATCACCCCCAAATGCACTTCTGCACACAAACCAAAGATTCCACAAATCTGAGGAACAAGTCAATGAGGACTTCAGGGCAGAGAGACTGTCTGCTGTGTCTGGTTAGGAACGGAAGATGCTCCACACGGAAACTGAGGAATGAATGAGAAGTCTAGCTCCGATTCTGAAACAGCGAGGACAGAAATCAAGCTCCCTGGGTCCACATTTCTCATCTATAAAGTGAGAGTTGCCCTAACTCTGCATCCTCTAGTCCTACAATTGCACTAGTCTAAGAAAATCCAGAGTCCCCCAGAGAAACACATCTATGAGAGGTGGGATGCTACATTAAGCTCTTAATTTTAATTATGTGCAAAGTATGCAAACATGGAACATCCCAGTTCAGACACTTTGCACTCCTGCTGGGTGACACGTGGGTCTCACCTGAGAAACTCGTGTTCAGTGCAGACCTGAAAGCAGCTACAGAAGCGACAGGCACAGCAGCCTCAGGTTCCCCAACTGCCCCCTTTCTGCCGTCAATGAGGGACTGAGAAGATCTGGTGAGAGACGCTCAGGCCTAGGGCTCGGAGGCAAAGCCCCAGTTCTCACTCCCTCACCTCCTGGATAGTCAGAGCACATAAGCCCTCATCCCCCCCGAGCCACCTGGTTTCTTAACTACAAGAGGAGAGATCATGAGGCTTCAAGTCACTTCATCCCAAGGTTGTTCTGAGCATCAGATAAGCTTGTCATCAGGGAGGGTCCTCGTACCTCAGAAGGGGTGACAGACAGCATAGGCTGGCCACTATTATAACAGCGACTGAAGCCTGTGGATATGGGCATCGAGGAAAGATTCGTGGGGGTCACTTAACTTATGTGAGATGCAGGTTGTTCAGCTGTCCAATCTGGGCAATGATATCTACTGTGTGGAGATCAGAGTTGAGGGGGGTGAAGCTCCTGGCACAGTGCAGGGACACAGTAGATGCTCAATAAATATAAATGCACCTCTGAGTGTGGTGGCCCAGGGTCCTTCCACGTTCTGCCTACCGCCCTCTGGGACTTAGCAGTGGACATGATTTCAACAAACATCTCAGAGCATCGTGTTCCCACGTTCACATGCACGTGCCAGCAGCAAGAGCATCAATTTTAAGGGTCAAGTTGCTGAGGGCTGAGCAGAATTTTTTATTAAACAAATTCACTGGACCAGAGTTCTTGCTGTCCATAACTGCGCCATAAGCAGTGGCCAAGGGGATATTACCATCTACATGAGAGAAACATCAACTGGAGGTATTAAAAGAATAAGGAAAGCCACGGTCTCCCGAGCCCCTGTTACACGCTGGCACTGTGGCGGGCACATGAGCGCCATTCCAGCTCTTACAAGCGCCTGCCAACCGGGCATCATCACAGTTGCCGTATCAGGGGTTCACCTGAGACAATCCATGATCTGACAGCACACACTTGTCCATAAAGCTCGTACTCTTTGCTCTAAATCACTCCATTTTTTTACGGTGAGAGGGTGCCTTTCTCTAGTCTGCGTCCTCTTACACTCTGTTCCTGGACTTGGTCTCCAAAGTACAGAGAAGCGCTACACTTGCAGAAGGAGAGGGCATGCAGTCAGCTGAACCACGCCCCAGCCTCCACGTGCACCAGCTGAGCAGGCCCAGAAGGGAAGGGGATGCTCCAAAACAACGAAAGGAGGCTCCCTCCGTCTTTATTTTGAAGAGCGGTGCGCTTCCGACTTGAATACCCGCTCCAGCGCCGAGCCCACTTACCTTGAAGGAGGCGTGCTGCTCCATGTGCCGCAGCAGCTGTGGCTTCTGGGCTGCTGTGTAGTCACACACGGTGCACTTGAACTGCTTCCCTGAAAAGAAGGGAGAAGAAGGTGAGCGCCGTCAGGCTCTCAGCCTCTGCATGTGAGTGGAGCGTGTACGAAGGCACGAAGAGGCCCCGTGCCGTCGGGGGTGTCCAGAACGTCAGGGGGAACCGGCAAGGAAGTGCACAGCCGCAAGGCAGCATGCTCCGTCTAGCCCAGGGGAGGCTGGGGGGCCGGACACCAGGGGCCTCAGTGTCTCCCTAGGAGTGTGGACGCCATCCCGAGAGCCAACAGCACCTGCAGAATGCCCTTCAGCAAGAGAAGAGATCTGTTTTGGAACTCGTAGGAGTGTAAAAGGCAGATTTCAGGAGATGCTAGAGAGAAAACGACAGAGAAGTGTGAAACGTGGGTCTTTTGAGAGGATTAATGTTTCAGCAATTTATAAACATTCAGTAATGTGATAAACAAGCCCACATGTTAAATCAATGGATATATGGGGCAGGCTACATTTTTTACCCCTGAGGAGCAAAAATAAAACCTCGACTTGCAATAATACAAACGTGCAACCAAATAAAAATATGGCCTACTTCTCACAGCAGCGATGCTTACCACGCAGCTTCTAATGGCTCTAAGCCTCCGGAGGCAGCAATGACCACAGTCACTGCACATGGTGCCACAGAAACACTGGCTCCCTCTGGGAACCTCTCACACCTTTCCTTCCCAGCCGAGCTGGGTGAAAAAGCTGTCCACCTCTGCAGCCTCCATGCTCCTTTTCTATCCACTCCTGAGCCCACCCCAAAACTGGCAGGTGACACCAGCTCGCCCCAAAACCTGTCTCGCCAAGGTAACCAGGGACCTCCGTGACGCCAAGCCAATGGCAGACTTCAGTCCTTATTTGACAGGACTCTACCGCACGTGGCTCTGCTAACACCGTGCTTGGGAAACCCTCTGCTCCTCTGATGCCACGCCACTACTGCCTCTCCGTGCCTCTCTATTCGTTCTGTGTATCCCGGAAACACTCTCTCCCATCTACAGCTTTTACACACTGAGGTCCCAGACTGCTCCAGCCCACACCCCCACTCTTCTCCTTCTACAGGCATCCTTGCATGTAAACCTTTGAGGTCAAAATCTACACCTTCTACGCATACTTTTACACCTTGTACCCTTCCCTAAACTTGAGATTTGAGTATTCAACTGGACTACTGTTTAGCTGTCCCAAATGTCCTAATTTGGACTCTTTGCCTCACCCATCATATGGGTTCCACCTCCAGGCTTCCTAGTTTATCACCCACCTGATCGCCCAAGTCAGAGACCCAGTAGCCTTCCTCAACATCTCCATGACCCCAACTTCACTCACCTTATTTTTTAAGCACCTGATTTCAACTCCCAGTATTTTTCTATTTCTCTCTGTTTCTAAAACCTCCACACTGGTTTAGGCCCTCCTCATTTCTTTCCTGGACAATGGCAAAAGCCATTGCTCAGATGAATTGGTTTCCTTTCTTTCAGGCAACCCTCCCATCCATCTATCACCCACCCACTGCCCCTGCTCCATCCGTCATCCATCCATCCTGATGCCCCACCCTCCATCCCTGATCTAACACACAAACCCGTCCACAGCCCTTGCTGCACAGCCCGCCAATGACTCCAAATACAGATCAAAGCTGAAGTTCCAAAGCGTGGCATGGAAGGCACCCAAAATCAAAGTAACTCTCCCCCCGATCCCTCTCTCTGACTTCCTGTTTTGCCTTTGCAGTCCAAGAACCCTGAGCCTCTGCTAACATCTTCCATGCCTGAGATGCACTGTCTCTTGGCATGTGGGCATTCTTCACTTTAACTCAAAACTCCAGTTGAACGACATCTCTGGTACAAGCGGGCTAAGAGCCAGCCCCCTGAAGCTCCCACACACGCTCTCACACACTCTGTCCATGCCCTGGTCCTGCAGCATGGTCATGACCTGCCATTGGCCTCCCATCGGCAGGAACCATGTCTTAGTCATCTTGGCACTCCTAGTGCCTGAGCGCCTGGCACACACTGAATATATTCTGTGCATTCTACTAAACTGAGCTGGGCAAGAAGCAAAAAGGAAACTTTGTACATATTACTTGACTAATGCTCTCCATAGCAGCAGCAAAAGGGAAACAATAATATAAACATGTTAATACTGCAATTGTACCTATCATTCCAGGCGAAGGACCCCCAAACCCTAGATTCTACTAATTCTGCAAGTCCAAAGTATGAGGAAAACCTTTTCATGTGTAAGGCAGAAAAGTCATAATTAGAGCGCAGTTAACACCTTACCTTGAACACAGTACCATCTTTTTCAAACAGAAGGGCTATGCATGGCTACACATCTCCTGTATAAACTCGGACACCCGTACTTCTCCACTGGTGCGTGACTCGCCTAAATACATCATGACTGTGCCAGGCAGCCTGAGCAGAATGCTGTCTAGGTTCCCCACTGGCACCATGCGGGGAGGAAAGCTGATATCCATGTTGATAAATATTTTCACTCACTACCAATACACTTGGATCAAACAGTAGGAGATTAAGCTAAAAATGATTAGTGCCTGAAATGAATAAATGGCATCGCCTCGTTTGAGGTCCACAGTCAACCTTTTATGAATATACTCCCGGGCTCGCCAGAGACAAGGAAAGAAGGCAGCTCTTAAAAGCCATCCCTTATGAGGCGTCAGAGCGCAGGCAATAAATATTACAAATGTTTTCAGCGACCAATGACGCCCCCCCACCAAACAGGCTGGGAGAGCGCTTGACATAATCTTTTGCTGCCTAATTAAAATAGTGCAATAGAGATGCATGACTAATCATAAAAATGTAATGATTTGAGACTATCAGATTGTTTTCTATCAAGATACTCCTGAGAATCACAGGGAGAATTGTCTAGAAAATGCAGTATTTACCCGAGGTTAGAGTGACCTCAAAGGGCTGGTAGGTGCACAGCAAATGGCTGTATCGGATGTGAGTCATAGAGCAGCCCAGGAAAAGAAGGGAATGATGACAAAGAAAAAATGAGGTGGACGTTTTAAAAAACTTAATTCATTTTGCACACAACGTGCCCGGCTAGCTCTACATAGCGAGCTGCTGGCCGTCAGCAGCTGCGCCAGGACATGGCGTGTCTGATCTCCTCGCGCTGCCCAGAACCTGGGGAGGCAAGGCAGAGCACCCCTCTTATGGATGAGGGACTAGGAACACGAAGCTGAGCAACTTGCCAGGTTGTGAAGCAGTCGGTGGCAGAGCCTGGATTTGGACCCCAAAGCTCTGACTCGGCCACGTAAGAATCCTCTTGGCTAATAAGGACATGGCATGATTTCCCCAAAGGGAACAAAGAATTTCCAACAGCAAAAGGGGCACATATGAACCACACGCATAAAGCCTGGTCCCGCAGGGTGGCGGCCCCGGGAAGCACCAGTGTGGCAGCGGAGGGGCGCTCTCCTGCAGCCCCGGCCAGCTCACCTGTGAGGCCCGGGGTTCATTCCTCCCTGCTGCTCAGTGTGTCCCCACTAGAAAAATGGGGAGGCAACCTCTGCCTGCTGCCAGGATGGGCTCAGACTCTGGGCGGCAAGCACCCGAAAAGTGGTCCCCTGAGAAAAGAGGCTGAGGGTGTGTGCAGGTGACCCAGCAGCGGACCCTGCTCTGCCACGGCCACTGGGGCAGCACCCCTCAAATCCTAGTGTTTTGACCTCCCTGACACTCTCGGGGACAATCCAAGGATAGGTCCAGTTAAGCCAGCCTGAGATAATATTCCTTAAAATAGAAAGAATACAAACAGAGAAAGGAAAATGATAATGTGTAAGTAACATAATATCAAAGAGTTCACAGAAGGCTTTCCGCATCCTGCCCCCAGCAACTGCTCTGGCCTTGTCTCCACCCACAGCAAGCCGTGACCCCCTGGCAATGGCTGGTGGGACCCTCCCCGTTACCTCCTGTGCTCAGCCATGACCCTCGCCCCCCTCTCTCCACCCCAGGGACATAGCACACTCACGCCGCCTCCGGGCCTTTGCACTTGCTGCTCTGGGGCCTGGGGTGCCCTTCCGTCCATGCTCTGCTGGCTGGTTTCCCTTCCATAACCATCCCCATCTTCCTTTACTGATTCCTTTGTGACATCCCTCATCTTGTAACATGTTCATATTGAAATTGAACCATTTCACATTCATATTTTCATGTCTCAATTTTCTCAAAATTTAAGATATTTCTTTATATCTCAACTGTAATATACCCCCTATCTTAATGATTTATCTTGTTTCTCGTTCAGCTTCATGACAGTGGGGTGTTTTGTTTCTGCTTTGGTTGTTGTTCGTACCACTCGCTGCTGTATCCGAAGTGCCTAATTCCAAGTGGCTCACCAATTCATCTCTGGTTGGTCCATCTGGCACCCTCGGTGGGCTGCAGGTACTTTGGGGTCAGGGACAGTAGACTTCTCATTCCACATCCTTGTGCCCGGCAGCGAGAGCATGCAGGCTATGAGGCTAGCAGCACGTCACAGGGCCGTCCCAGCAGGATGTCTGCTCAGCCATGTGCCCCCTCCCTCCCCACAGCCACCACCATCACACAGGGCACCACCAGAGCCTTGTATACGGCCCTGCCCACCATCCCTGCCCTCCCAGCCACAGGTGATGGGACCGCTGTGGACCAGTGACCCAAGCTGAGCCAGGAATCTGAACTGTCGGGATCTGAAGCATGTAACTCAGAAGCTATTGGTCATTATATTTTCAATCTGTGGATGAAATAAGAACACAAACCAGTCTGCAAAGGGAGACGAAGACAGAACGTCAGAACAAGGAGGCAGAGATGAGCAAAGGTGAGTGACGAAGACATCCACTCAGCAAGCACTCCCTGAGGGGCCACTGTGTGTGGGGACCAGGCCGGACCCCTGAGCACAGCAGCGGGCAGACAGCGGAGCCCTTGCCCTCATGGAGCTCACGGCCTATAAGGACAAGAAGCAAATAAATCACTACAAATCACAATGGGCTATGGGGGAAACGGATGGGGCCGTGGAGGGTGAGGAGGCCAGGACAGGGTGCAGCCATGGG